CATCTTTGACCCTTTCACAGAAACCTTCCTTCTCTGCCTCAGATCCTTGACTGCTCAGTATGAAGGCCCGTCTCCCAGACTGTAAACTTCGTGAGAGCAGTCGCTGGTTTCATTTCCCTGTGAAGCGTCGACAGTAACCAGCATGGCACCTTGCCTGTAGCAAGGACACTGTGTTCAAGTGCGTCAGATCCCACTGACTGGATCGGCCGTGTCAACTTGCAGAACGTTGTCACAAGCACTGAAGGCTTCTACGGCTCCTTCTCCTTGGGGGTGATGGTGGTGGGTGCATCTGTCTGTACCATATTCACAAACACAGTGAAACAGACAGGAGTTGACAGGCAGCAACAGTGAGGGAACCAGCTTCTTCTGAGAATGGCTGGAAGTCACTGGTTAACCCGTAAATTCAAAGGATGTAGTGAACGCGTATGTTACACAAAAACAAAAGTAAGGTACCGTAGCGGCAAAGGGCCTTCCGGGAATCTATATAGAAGCCTCCTCTGACCTGGACGTCAATGCTATAGAAAACGAAGAACCCACAGACTAACAGGAATTCCCAACTTTGTGAATGTGTGTGTGTGTGTGTGTCTGTGTGTGTGTGTATTTTTAACCAAAACAACTGTTCCATTATGAATATTCATGGTAAAGACACACTATGGAGCCACAAAGTATTTTTAGTGTGTCTTTGTCATCAGTTCTACTAAATAATGATCATTACAAATCCAAAAATATCTTGAATGAATAATACTGAATACAGATCACGAAATTGCATTACAAGGGTATTAGCTGACTCAGGAGACTAATTACAAGGAGGTATTGAGCTGCTTATCACTCATCTCAATTGTAAAACCATAAACCACACTGCATGGGCAGTGGCTGCCAATCAGGGTCAGTGTGAGGTAGTGAAAATAGCTTTGAACCGGGGTCAGGAGTTCCGGCTCTGCCTTTCCTTCTGTGACCTTGGGAGCTCTTAACGAAGATCATCCCGTAGAAGAGCAGACCCCATCCTTAGAGAAACACAGCTACACTAGCAGCTGGTGCTGCTCATTCACAGAAAACAATCTTAAACTTCAGAAAGATCACACACATGCGCACACACACACATTCATTCATTTCCTTAATCTAATACCTTCTTGCTTGCTTAATGGGCCAGTTTAGCATCACTATGAACCAGATGATGATTCTTTAAGCAAATGTTATCCATCCAGGTCCTAAATAACAGTAGCTAACCAAAATTATCAAACTGCTTTCTCCCCCACAGAATTTATCAGTCAGAAATCAAGGCTAAAATTACTATATTTATTTCTAACTCTACTTTTGAACAGTGAAAATAATAATATCATTACATGGTGTTCTTAAATTTCTAAAGTGCCTGCCAAATATTTTATTTAATCCTAATGCCCAGTCCAGCCAATGGGACACATTTTTGGAACTGTGCAGAACTGGTGTTGGTGGGTCTTCTGAGCACCCCCACTAACCTAAATTTGGGAATACAAAAATGATTGAGACAGGTTCCCAGCTTCGGGTTGCTTTTGTTTAGTGGTAGAGACGACACATTGTATTCCAATTATTATTTATGCATCTTAGAAGTCCCAGGGGGCACAAAGGAGGGCACTGTATTTCTACTGGAAAAAGAAGTGTATGTTGGGAGGTGCAGATAGAGGGAGGTATCAAAGATGTCTTCACTGAGAAGGTGACTTTGTCATTGAATTAAAGTTCCTATTCTACCTGTTCCTAGGAGAAGCTCTGCATGTTACTAAATCTATGTGAGCCTGACATTCCTCATCCATTAAATATGGATAACAATGCTGAATTCACAGGGTTACTGGGAGGATGGAATGAGAGAGCTCGCGGGAGAGCAATGTGTAAGTAGCAAAGCACCCAATAAATATGGTATTATTATTTGCACTGTGCAGAAGCGCTAACCTGGTTCACTCCAAAGATGGCTGGCAGTTGGTTCACTCCAAAGGTGACCTGGCTTGTCCAAGACTGCCCCAGACCCCTACCCAGGGCCAGCATCCCACCTCCGACTCTGGTGGTCCTCCCCCGACCTTGCCCACTGCAACTCTGGGGCACATACAGGAAGCACTTGTCCTGACATCATTTTATGGCCCTAAAATCACGTTAACATATTCATATATAGAAACATTCCAACATCTGAAGACTCGGCTGTGAAATGTAGCCTCTAACTCCTACGAGGGTACTCTCCTGAAGAGAAGTATCCAACAGAGCACTGTAAGGGAGGAATCGTGATGAGGAACATCTTAAATATTTAATACAGGGATAAAACAGTATATGCTTTTTTTTTACAAAGGGTTTTAAACTACCCAAAGTTTCAGAGAGTAAAATGTGGCAACTGTTTTAAGTGACTGAACTGTGAACTTCAATAGAAAATACTCGAATAGCAATGTGCCGTGCATTTAGTAGGTACTCAACTACTGTTGAATTTGGAGACCTGATCCGACAATTTTTACCCCTGAGATTTTAATACTAAAATTTCTCCCCTCATATAATATCTATAGATCTTGCTTTAAGCCAACCTATTTTAATCCACTTTTTAGTTCTTCAAAGATAAAATTTCATTTAGCCCTGCCTGGTTTGGCTCAGCAGTTAGAGTATCGGCCCATGAACTGAAGGGTTGTGGGTTCGATTTCCGATCAAGGGTTGCAAATTCAATCCCCAGCCTAGTCGGAGGTCATGCAGGAGGCAGCCAGTCTCTCTGTGTGTATCTCTCACATCAATGTTCTCCTCTCTTTCTCCTTCCCTCCCTTCCACTGTATCTTATAAAAAATTAATGAAAAAATATCCTTGGGTGAGGATTAACAAAATATCCTTGGGTGAGGATTAACAAAAAAAAGTTTTGATGATATCTCCTCTACATAATTCATATATATTTTACATATATATGATTGATCCTCACTTATTAATAATAGGATAATAGGTCTGGAAGATCTTAAGTAAAAATATATATTTATTATATACTATGTAGCAATCAGACACTGTGCTGGGAGACGAAAATATCCAGACCTTCAAAGGAAATTCACAAATAGTAGTCCTTATTGAATGTATCCATCTGTATGAGGGCTCTCCAGAGAAACGGAACTAACAGAGAGAGAATAAGAAACTGGCTCTGCAGTTATTGAAACCGACAAGTCCCAGTTCCAGGACATCAGGAATTCTCTTACTCAGGGCAGGGTTGACCTTTTTGTTCTACTCAGGCCTTCAGCTGATTGGATGAGGCCGTCACACTGGGAAGGGCAATCTGCTTTACCCAGTCTGCCCATTTAAATGTTAGTTTCATTCAGAAACACCTTCACAGAAACACCCAGGACAGTGACTGATCAAACATGCAGGCACCTTGTGGCTCAAACAAGGTGACACATAAAATTAATCACACCATACCACCCCGCCCCCCCAAAATATTTTCCCCCTCTAAATTGCAATAAGAAAAACTAATGATCAAGGGCAAGTCACTTCAACAAAACATTAAGGAACTGGTTTTCTTTTTAGATAAGAGGGCTGTATAGGCTGCTGGTGACCTGAAGGCTCTGGCATATTGATTAGGCTGGTTTGGGTCAAAGTTCATCTCCACCACTTACGAGCTAGGTGACACAGACACACTTCTGTGTTGCTGAGCCTCGCCTTCCTCATCTATTAAAGTGGGGAAATAATATTTGAATATAGTAGTAGTTGGAAAGAGTAAATGAGACGGCTAATGCATGTAATAATGCTTGTCTGTCACACAACAAATTTTCAATAAGCATCAGCTGCTCTAATATTAATAATTACTATTATAACTGTGAGTTGCAATTCTAGGCCTTTCTGAGACATATTAAAATATGGCACAATCACCTTAACCAGGATGTGTATTTCTATTGGCACAAATTTGGGAATTTTATCAGTTACTTACACATAGTTTTATCAGTTGTTTAATCCACATAGATCATTTGATCACAAGCACAAGTAGATCTTTTAATAATCAAGCAATTCGATCAAAATAACTTTCTGTATTTAGAAAATCAGTGATGGGAGAAGAAATACTAAAAGCACCACACGTGAAGATTATAGAGGGAGGTATTGATGCAGAACTGGGCAGAGTCCCTCTCTGTCCCCTGGCTAAAGCCAAATTGTAATCAATAACCGAAGAACTTGTCATCACAGGGCAGGAGGCAGGACAAGAGAGAGATCGTCCCTCCTGTCGACCTTGTCTGTTTGATCCCAGGATGTTGAAGGTTGGACTGGAGTTGGCATTCCCTCTAGAATGGTCCTGTCATAGTTGCTGTGTAAACTGGGAAATTCTTTTCACCAAGGCGTCTCAGCTCCCTCCTCTGAAACTTCTGACCTTTCAGACACCTCTGCTCCAACCCTATTTCACCCAAAGCCTAAAACTCTATGATTTTGTTATGACGATAAAGGAAGGAAATCTGAACATTTGGGGAAATTCTTAAAAGTAGACCAGTGACTGAGTTGTTCTTCTCCCTCTGTGATCTCTCCTAACCCCTCCTCTTGAAGATTCATTAGAGTCCTCGACATCCTCAAGGTCAAGGTTATCCACCTCCTTTCTGGTCCTGTTTGTCTATTTTTTTTCTGTTCTCATCAACTGCTTCTTCCAGAATCCAGAATCTATGCAGATTAAGTCACTTCAACTTCAGGGGAGTTTGGGTATACACAGGCCACCCCGCCCCCCAAGTCTGCCTACAGCCTTCCCTCTCTCTCCCTCTTAACAGTTCCCTACTCTCTCAGCCAATAGAGGAGTTTAAACATTTAAATGTGGTTTCTAAACTGCATTTAAAGAATTAACCCATTTTGCCCCTCGCTGGTCTAAACCACAGGGTGCCAACCTGACGCTAATTGCTTTCATCTGGTGGTGTTCCAGACCGCTCCTCGGAAGGAAGGAGCGCACATTCCTGGCACCAATTGGCTAATTCAATTTTCACCGGCATTAGCCTCTGTCAGAATATTCATGAGCAGGGGAATGAGGACCCGAGGCACAGGCAGGCGGCAGCCACTCAGCCTAGGGAAGGCACGAGGGGCTGGGAGCGCACAACGCGCAGCGCTCAGGGGCCGGTGACCGCGACAAAGCAGCTCTTCTCCCTGGTCGGGCCCCGCGGGGCCGCAGGAGGGCGGGGCAGGGCATCGGCGGGGTAAGCTCCCTGGCATCGCTACCCAACTCCTGGTGACCGCACGGACACTTTGCAAAAGATCCGGAGGCAGAAAAGCTGTGGCACTTTTGACAGAAGGGGAAGGGGGATGGGGGGCAGGGGCAGCGCTGTGAGCAGGGGCGACGGGACCCAGCGGGACGCCGGCAGCCCGGTGGGGCTGGCAGCGATGTGAGCTGGACGCCCGCCCCGGAGGAGTGTGGACCGAACGTCCCCGGAGAGCCGCCCGCCGTGCCAGGTAAAGCGGAGAGCTCGGGCCGCCGCGCGTCTGTGCCCGGGCTCCGGGTGCTGGAAGCCGCTCCCAGGGAAGGCGCCCGGCGCTGCGCGTGGTCCACTCTGCCACGCACTGTGCCCGCAAATACCCGCCGCCGCGGAGATCCTGCGGGCCCTGGGAGTTAGACTTCCTCGGACTTTGGGGGAAGGGGATGTGAAGGGGCTGTCTGGCCTGGGGAGCGGCTCTCCGGTAGAAAAAAGCTGGGGTACAGCGGGGCTGGCCGCCGGGGCAGCGCGCACGGGGATGGAGCCTGGGTATCAAGAGTGTGCCCAGGGAGGGCGCTTGGCCCGGCTTCGCTCCCGCTTGCCCCGCGGGCGGCGGCGCCTCCCTCTGGCTGCCGGTGGAAGAGGGCCAGCTGCGCCCTAACGCAGGGATGCGCGCCGGGAAAGGGCACCGGGGCCCAGGCTGCGCGGAGGCGCGGGCGCCTGCGAGTCCGGCTCCCGTCCGCGCCTAGCGCTGCGCCCTCACGCGAGCTCGGCCGTGGAAGAAGAATGTGGTGGTGACTTGTGTCCCCACCACCTGCCGGACAGCGCTGACCCCGGATTTCCTGTCTCGGGGCCCCACACTCCCAGGGAACGCTCTGAATTGCTGGATTGCACTCGGGCTGTTTGGGCTTGGCGCGCTGCAGTTGTCCTGGGGATGGGGGAGAACCGGGAGCAGGGGGGTCATCTGGTGAAAGTTGCAGATTTGTGAAGGATACGCTACCCCGGAGTCCCAGCCGGCCCTTAGCAACAGGAGAGGCTGTGGGCTGGACTTGGGCTGAGGCGAGCCTCTGCCTGGCTATCCACCGGGCTGGATCCTGGGGGGCAGAGCCTTCCCCCCGGAGGCGGGCAGGCAGGAGGAGGACTGGAATCGGAGCAGTGGGGAGTGGGTTGGTCGCCTGGTAGACTCAGAGTTTACTGTTTCGTTATTATTGCCATTACTATCACTATCATTAATGCTTTTGGTGGTGTTAGTGGCACGAATGACAGAAAGGGTTTTGTCTTCAGACTGTTATAGGTCGCCTGGAAACTGAGTCTACCCCTCCCCCAACAAAATGTCCACTGACACCCTCTAGTTTCTGGCGCATCGCTCTAGCAAAAGAAAGTACCCCTCGGAGATGTGGTGGTGTCAGGCACCCGGCTAAGGAACAGGATCTCCCCAAGAACAGTAAAAACAACAAAAAGTGCAACTGTGTGATGTGCCTGCTTGGAGGCCGCGGATGAAACTATTTTTATCCCACTACCTCCCTCAGCCTCTTCTGGCTGATGAATCCTGAAGGCTTTGCCAGTCTTGAACCCCACGTCTGACCCAGCTTTTTCCTCTCATGCGCAACACAACCTGGAAATGAATGTTTCTCTGAGTGTGAGCCTTGCAGTCTCACTGGGCATGTCACTCGGCGGGGGCAGGCTTCAGACCCCCACACTGGAGGCAGCCACCAGGGCACCTGTGCTGGCCTCTGCTTGGCTTGGGCCCTGGTCAGAGCTCCTCCATGGCACAGGCTTGGCCAGCTGATGACTCAGTAAATAGGGCAAGAGCGTGGGAGGGCAGAGTGTCAGAGGGAAAGCATCATGGGACAGAGGGCACCCCGCTTTGCTGGCCACATCCCTGCTGCCAGAGAAAGGAGAGTGGAGAGCAAGCTCTCAGGGTCTGTGTGGGCTGTGGCCACTGACTTTGGCGTGACCTTTCCTTGCCAGGACCGGTTTTCCCCATTCGCCAGTGCACTGATAGCCTCGCCTCTGTACTGGGATAGTTGTCGTGAGATGATCGGATTTTGTAGCCCCAAAATGCTTTGGGCCTCCTGGAAAAGGTGGTCTATAAAATAGGCGTTTGTAATGCTTTGTGAAAAGTTTGCTACACTGCGGGTTAAGGAGATAGATACATTTTTAGCATGTGTGCCATGTGGCAGTGTAAAATTAAAATGGAAAAGTATAAACATAAAAATGACTTAGCATTCTTGACATGCTTGTGCATACTTGTAGAAAAATTATCTTTCATTTGGGGCGAGTTGCCTGGGAATTTAATCAGTGTTTATACTACTGAACCGCCCCCTTCTACCTTTCTCCCCTGTAAAATTTTATGACCCAGTTCTCACAGGAAAGGCAATGAGAAAGTCGTAAGTGCTGGGGGCTGAGAGGCGGGACCATAGGGTTGTTAGGGGAACGGTCACAGAGGGTTTGGAGACTGGTATGGGAACAAAGATGCCATCATCCCTGCAAAGCAGGAGAACGTTCTTTTGGAAGAAATGGTTGAGCAATGAGACCCCACACTGACTACTGTCTGCTCTCAGATCCGGGGAGGGGGCTCCCTCAGATGGTTCAGGAGAGCCAACCAAGGTGTTTTTCCCTCTCCCCCTGGTAGAGGCACTGTCTTCATCTAGTCTTTGGACTGGTGTGAACTCCCCATCCCTGTCTGGGCGCTGCAACCGTTCTCCCTTGCCATGTCCACGAGATTCGGAGGTACCCTCTCAGCCCCTCGGATATTTGTAAACATTCCTCAGCCTCCGAAGCTTCCCAAAGATGCGCAGCTGTTGGTGAATTTAAGTAAATAGTTCGAAGTAATCAAGAGAGCTACTGAAAAGTGAATGTTTTCCCCTGGTGGAGAAGTTATTGAATGCCTTTTGAGTTAGAAAATTAGCGGTTTAGAAAAAGCAGGGGGGATTTCCTTGACTTCCCTCTACCCATCAGCCAGCAGTTGTGTTTTTCTTTCCTTCATAGTAGTGAGCACTGTCTGGTTAAGCATTTTTTCCAGTTTCAGACTTAGAATGGGGGTTCGCCTGGTGGTGTTCTATGGACAGAGGAAAAATGTAAAGAGATACGGAAGGAAGAGCTGCAGTGGCTAGAACATAAATCAGCCAGAATATATGGGGGGTGATGAGAATAGGTCTTTTCACCCTTAAAAAAAAAATGTCCACTTTGGAAGAAAAAGAAGTCTGATTATTGGCATCCAAGGCTGCACCCAAGGCAGCTGATGCCGAGAGGAGCCAAAGGGCAGTTCTTCTTAGTTTAGAAACAGCAAGACAGCCTCTGCCAAAGATCGCTGTAAACACGGAATAAAGATTTCATTGTGGGCTGCTGTGACTGGAATAATTAGACGGTTAATTGTTCATTCTGATCTGGTGGTTGCAATAGGAGCGCAGAGCAGAGCAAAGAGGAGCAAGGGAAAAGCAGAAAAGTAACACATCACTTCTATCTCCACTTGTTTCACTTTGATGGTGCCTTGGAAAATCCTGGTAGTTTTCCAAAGCACCTCTCTACTTCCAGAACACTGCAGCACTGGAGAGCGGAGACCCATGGCTGCCTTCCCCCTCCAGGGTCAACTCTGGAGGTGGACAGAATCTCCCATCTTCTAAAAGCAGCTGGGGAACTACAGTAGGAATGAATGACTTAAGTGATTCCTGTATTAATAGATTTCAGTTAGGCACAAACCTTAGTGTCACCTCAATCAAAATATACGCAAACAGCCCTAGATTTTTGCACTTCCCCGACTTTTTTCTCCAGGCATCTAGGGGTTAAGAAGTAAATACTCCATTTTTGACATTTAATTATATTCCATTGTGAAACAAATTGCCTAGTGATTAATCTTTCATATTTAATTGAAGAAACAGCCTCCTCTGTATTTTCATACTAATTGAGAGACAAAACAAAATGTATTTTGAGTAATAAAGGTGATTTTTAAGCAGCTGAGCATCTCCAGTTATAGTTCGCAGTAGACTGTGACTTATTGTTATTGCCTAAAAGATGGTACTGTCATAAATTCCTTCTGAAATGACTTGTGCAGATGAAGAAATGAGTAAGGGACTATAGAGAGCATTAAGCACATGGCCCATGGGGAGGGGATGGAAGAATCATGTATTTAGCATGTTCAAAGCCTCCCAGAATCCCAATATTGACATGGACTATGGAGCAAAGTTTTCAATGAAAAAAAGAACACCTTTTAGTGTCAATGTTAAGTGCAGTTGTTCTGGGAATAAAAGCACTGTGTTGTTTTTTAAAAGCATAATAAATTACATAAGTCATCAAGTCTCATAAAAAGAAATGCGTAGTTTCTCCAAGATATTCATTTTCTCTCCATGTGTTTTAGAGGTGCAAGACTTTCTTTACTAACCTTTAGTTCCTTTTATTCATTGTGAATCAAAAGGGATGGCAAGGGCAAAATACTAAACTGTTGAAAAGCATAAGTGGTACAAAATTATGGAACTATCAAGCTTTCAGAAGGCAAAATTCTACTTTACAAAATTGTCTACAGCAATTAAAAATAGAAAATCATATTGCTGCATTAAGTTATGGCAACAACCCATTTTCAAGAGAAATTTAGCCTTTTCTCATTTAATTGCTATTCATGGTTTGCTAGATTTTCAGAATAATCTGCCAGTCTCCTGCTAACCAAGACTGTCTAGTTCAGTTCCTAATTACATATGGATTAAATTAATTTTAGAACTCAAAGCATTGCTCAAGTGCAATGCGAAACAGAAATGATTCAGTTCTCCTCAAGGTATATGCAATATTTTTTAAGCTTAAGGAATCATAAAAGAGAGCACATTTGGTATGGAAATACATCAGTGAATAACTACACTAAAGGACTAAGGAATGCTATAAACTGTGAATCTTTTTAAAAATATGCTAAAGAAAGTTATAATGGTACCATTCTTTTTTCTCCCCAAACAGTAAGAGATGGTTGTGCAAAATACCACAAAAAGTACAAATGTCAAAGATATGCCCAGCACTGCCTGAAATGGGGTATTGTTGCTACTTATAAGAGTGTTTCGCAATCTAATCAAAAGTTTAGACTTTATTCTGACTAATGTCATGACCATGTTAAGAGTAAAGAGGTATCTTATATGGAAGAGATATTTCTTTATAGTTTTATAGCTCCTTGCTGGATTCTAACACATAGGAGATTCTCAATAAATATGTATTGATTTGATTTTTTTATAAGGAAAATTAAATTATATCAATGAAATTTTCAAGTTAGATGAATTTATA